AATATCACAACGATAACCGTGATAGCAGTGAAATCGGTGAAAATGGTGATCACGATTTTCCTGGTGATCATTGGTGATGCTAGTTGGCGTAGTCATTTAGTTGCGCAAACGGATTATCACTAACATCGCTTACAAAAAAATGCATAATTTTGTGTAATATCGATTGACAAATCGAACTTCCATTATGCTTATTTCCCAATAATAACCGATCACAAATAAAAAAGAGAAAATTAATTTTTTGCTAATCGCTTATTTAATAGGCCATATTACATAGTAGTTCCTCTGTGATAAATATTCGCGTATATCACATTATTAGCTGTAGATCCTGCTTCTATTGGTTGCAAGTGTGAAGACTCTTCATGACATAGTATGCAATTCGGCCATAGCACCATAATTATATAAATGGACTAACATAAACTCTTAATAGCTCGATCGCATTATTTCTAATGAGTTTGGATCATAGAGTGGCTCCCCATCTTTTCTCTGAACCTCCCCAGAGAGTTGAACCTTGTTTGGCTTGCAAGATTATAGACTCACATGTGATGTTCTGATGTGAGCATACTTTTCACATTAGATGCAAATTCAGTTTGCTCTGAATGATGCCCAGAGTGCTGAAACAATGTTATCGAACAGCTTGAACAACTCAGTTAGAAATATATGAGTAGAGAAGAAAGATTGTTAGCTTTTATACATGAGGTGTCAACTGAAGTGATGGAAATTGATAGCAATTCATCAGAAGTAATCCCTCAGGATCAGCTCTCAACGATTCTATGAAAATTATCTCGAAAAGTTGGCAAGGCTGATTCCTATGCCATCTATTGCTATTACGAATTTGGCTTAGCAGTAATCAATTGTCTCAATGAATTAATAGAGAAAGGACAGAAGAGGGCACGAAATAAGTTAAATACAGAGGTTCAGAAATATTTACCAGCTGGTATTTCTCTAGCCGTGGCAAAGGATAAAATTAAAAAGGCTAGAAAAATGGTTGACATTTTTAGTGCTATAGATCAATCTAGAATTCAATATGTTCATTCATTTTCTGTAGACCAGCTCTCAACTTTTAAGGAAGACTATATCAACTTCATAAAAGCAAAAATTACTAAAGCCTGGAACACCATAAATATGCAAAATACCTTGAGTGTTTTATTATGTCTTTATATCTTTTTTTATATCTTTATGTCTTTATGTTGAATGTACATCAATATGTCGTTATTCTAGAACAATTGTTTTTGATAGAAATGTCCTTTGATTAGCTAATTTGACCTATATAGTCTTCTTTTTCATAATTGATTAGTAAGACCATGATAGATGAAGTTTGCAAAACAATCGAAGGGTATTTAACTAAAACTCTTATACTCTATCAGCTTGGCCAGCCAATTTATAATAAAAGTACTTTTCATTTTTAAATGGTTTTGCCTAGTGATTTTTAACTAATGTAATTCCTCAAAACAAATAAAGTTTTATTATATACTGATCGAGTCCTAAGGAACTTTGTAATACATATA